TGCCTGGGAGGTCCAACCATTTCCTTTCACGCGTCTCCATCGTACATTTTGTCTTACCGAAGACAAACATGTTCTCCACAGGGTCCGGCAATGCAATTCTGCTCGTGATTTTGCCCATGGAGCCATTCTTTCTGACGTAACCATCCTTGGTAAACTCGTTGTTGTGGTAGCAGAGTCTGACCGGTACGGCGAGTGGCTTCTTCGGGTAGTCCGACATGGGGCACATCTTCAGGATTTGTCTGACCTTGTCTCAAATATGATATGAAGACTAAACCTTTAATATTCAATGGTTCATTCAGAATCCTGTTTCACCTATCTTGTGCAAGTCAAGACGCGATGCGACCCATCTTGTTGAAGTTGCTCGACCTGCGGGCATCCTTCAGGAACAAGAGGTCATTCTTGCGGAAGAATGTATCTGTCGCTGAAGGATCACCCTCTGGCGCCAACAGTGACGTCAGCACGCTCTGGTAATGACTTTCGTCCAGTGGAGGAAGCAGTCGATAGGTCTTACCAGACAATGCAGCCCTGTCGTACCGGCACGTTGCATCATAGATGTACAGTACCCTGTCAACCTTCCCCCCGGACTGGGCCAGGGCCTCTTTCCACTTGCTGTTGTCTGGCTCCTCAATGAACGTAGCGTACTGTGTCAGACCTGAGAGGCCGGTGGTCTGACACACAAAATTGCAATAATAATGGGTTCATGACCTGACTGACTGAAGCCTCAGGGTTTCTTAAAAGTAAGAACCTGACGAGAGCTGGCAAAGGAATACATGTTCTGCACGGCATCTGGCGAGACGTTGTGGAAGCTGTCTAACGCCAGACTGGGCAGAGTCAGTGAAGGAAAAAGATCTGACTCCAACATCTGACGAACCATTTCGTTTTCCTTGCTGATCACCTGCTCGTCCTCATTCTCCGCGAGAAGCTCGTCCACTACGGGCTTTTCGACAGAATGATCTGACGTAAGATGCTGTCCCAGAACCAGGGTGGCCTGCGAGTCATTGCCATCGTCCACAACACTCTCCGAGGCTGCGGTCTGACTGTCCTGCTCGCCAGCTGCCGGCGTCGTACTCGGTGGCGGTGGCGGTGCGGTCTCCTCCTCGTGCAGCTGGAGAATCTTGTCCAAGTCAAACAAATCCTTGCTGGCGGTTGTAAACAGGAAATTTGTTTTAAAAGTGAAAACCCACACTTGCTTCTTTGTCAAAACTCTGGGTCCTCGGAGGCGAAGTCTGACGATGCCAGAATACCTTCTGCTGACATGTTCGAGTCTCTGGAAAGGCATTTCAGGAGAATGTGGTCCGCGTTCCCGTCATACAGCATGTGGAGACCTGGTGTCTAACAGTAACACCAAATCAAATCAGCACGCAAATGAAGCTATGGCGGGCATGCCGAATCAGACAAGCTACCCGTGGCTGCCGCTCGCTCTGACGGTCTGACGAACTTCTCCGTAAACGCTGTGACCTCTGGCGTGTTGCCGCCAGCAAGCTCCATGAACTTGCCACGAGGGAACATGATATGGAAGTCTGACCAGTCGCCAAAAACCGTTCCGATGTTCTTACATTGGATCTTCCAGGCCACATAATGGGAGATCCGACGCAAGGCCAGGAAACACGGGATGACCTTGTGGCGGATGTCCTCCCTGACGTTTTGTGCCAACGTGCCCCTGAGCAGTCTGACATGAATCCCAGCCACAACGAAGTTCAGCAGCTTGTCTTGCAGCGGAAGGTTCTTGGGGCATGATGTCTTACCGCAGAGGGTGTCGAGCGCGGCCCATTTGGCCAAGGGGTGTGTCTTACCGAAAGCGTACTCCAAGCCGTCCAAATGGTTGATTGCCACTTCAGTCATACGTTTCACGATCTTCAAGTGGCACTCCACGGTCTTCTGACCGATGGTCTCCTCCGCGAAGTTGATCTTGGAGAACCAAGCCGCAACGTCTGACGATGTATGCGGCTTGTTCTGACGCTTCAGTGATTCTGACACCTGGTGAGTTTGAAGGCACTCCTTGTAGCCAAAAAGCTGGGCCGTCAGAGCGTCCGACTTGATGTTCTCCTCAAGCTGTCGCCGGAGCCTTGTCTGACAGGAACCCAAGGCACACCGAACCACACTGGGGGACTGCAAAACTCGACTCTGGTTTGCAGCCCGGATGCACACCAAACTCGTCGTCTGACACGACCAGCTGGAAAGTAACGGCTACAGAGCAGCTGGCTTCCTCGAACCTCTTGACCACATCCATGGCTTTGGTCTCACGTGCTTGCGCGAACCCCATGAGCCAGCCCATCCTGAAGACGCTCTTGTCGGCGACTTCCCATGTCCCCGCCTCGGGAGGCGAAGTCTTACTGGTAGCACGGATCCTGAGTTGATTCCATGCTGACGCGTCTGGCCGTGCCTTCTTGGTACACACAGCCGGGATGAAACTTAAAATTAATCCATGCAAGATTCGTAGTGGCATGCTGCGGCTGGCAAATCTTATCCGTCAGGAGACCATCTGACGTACAGAAGTGGTGCTTGTAACTTCTGACAATACTTCCGTAGTTTGGCCAGACATCTGACTCGAATGCCTCAGCTGACATGAATAGAACAGGGACCAGTGAACTGAGCGATCAGTCTATGGACTGCGACGCTGTCTGACTGCCTCAGGCTGGTGCCACCAAACCGAGCCAGTGCAAGGGCACCACACACGTGTACTTGCCTTTGTCTGACATCTCCTGAGCGTAGTTGGCGCAGTCAAACGCCTGGATGCCAGCGTAGGCAATGGGTCTGACATCGGACTTCTCCATCTCCTCGACATAGTCCAGAAGAGGTGCCAGGATGTCTGCCGCCACACGCCTGTGATTGTGCACCGGCGAGGTGCTCATGCTTGACACCGTCGCCGCTGCTTTCTGAGACGGTGTCTGACAAGCTTCCTGCTGAGTCTTACAGTCAGCTGGCTTCTCCGCAGCCTTGGCCTGAGCTGCCTTCGGCTGAGCTGCCTTCGGCTGAGCTGCCTTCGGCTGAGCCCCCTTCGTCTTCGGCTTAGGAGCCATGGGGTCTGACAAACAGCGTCGCTTGATCGTCAATCTGACAGCTGCAGCAGCAAACTAAATGCCCCGTGAGCTCGTGAACCGTAAATGGTCCTACACGCAAGCTAAAGACTGCAAAGCCAGTCCTGGTTGTCCGACCAAAGTCCGCCATATGTTCCTGTAGGCACCTGTGACAAAAGCACAAGTTCCCAAAAGCATGTCATTGTCAGATTAAGATGCAACACCAAACGACGGGACGCTAGTTAGGCCTCCGGCGTCAGGCGCCCCAACTTGTGTCCGCAGCGTGCTGAGGACGCTAGTTGGGCCTCTGCAGGGCCAAATGTCCCAACATGGCAAAGTGTGTCCAGGGTCGCAATGGTCTGGGAGGGGGTTTAAGAGGCCCAACTTGTGTCCGCAGCGTGCTGAGGACGCTAGTTGGGCTTGCGGAATCGGAAGGCCCAACTTGTGTCCCACGCAATCATTTTCATCGCACACGATGACGGTCTGACCATCCAAAATCTGTGCATTAACACTCTTGCTGACTTGCTTCTGCCAGCATGCCTGCCGCACCATTTCTGATCTGACATAACAAAATTGAATTTGGTGCACTGATGGTCAGACTCAGCGTCAGCCTTTCACTCACATCAGGGCGAGCTCCATGTGAAATTTACAAAGCGTGTCTGACTTTGAGTTCGCTTGCAAAGCACACTTCCTCTGAAATGCTGCTGCTCTGACAAACACGTCGTCGATGAAGAGCTCTGCCGCCTCGTGCAGTTGTCTGACAGCATTGGGAGAGATTCGCCAATCATCCGGCTTCATCTTGTGCAACAGTTGTCTGACGGTTCTGCCGATGACCAAAGTTGGCATGAGGAAACGTTTCTGTTTGATAAGGCGATCATCCAAATTGTTTCTGTGACTCTTCGTTCCCGGCCAATGCTTTGCCGTCTTACTGGGTTTGCTGTCAGACAAACTGCGACTCCTTGTGCCAGTCTCACGCTTTCCGCCAAGAAGAAGAGCGACGTCCATGTGAGAGGCCACATCGTCTGACGCCTCCTCTGCACTCTCGGAGCTGCCGCGTGCCTTGATTGGCGATGGTTTTGCTTTACGCCGATCGTTTCTTGGAGTCTTACTTGGGCGCCTTGGCTGGGCTCGAAAAGGTGTGCCGCCAATAACCTTGTGGGGTGGAAGCTTGACCACCTTGCTTCTGACCATAGCTGGCACAGCACAGAAAGGGAAAGTCCACGACTGCTACCGTTGCCATGCTGATATTCAGGATTCGTCTGTCTGACGACGTCATGCGAACATGATCATGATTATAATTAGAACTACAGAGTGCGGTAATTACTAGACACCTGACCTGCGGCAGCTATGTTGATCCAACACCTTGAGACAAGGATTCTCCACAACGTCCTGGTCTTGTGCCCGCCAAAGCAAACGCTGTCACGAGGGCTGCTCCCTGCCTTCATTCATAATGTCCATGGTTCCGCTGCTGACCATCGTCTGACCTGATTGACATTCAAATGATTCCCAGACAGAGCTTCCGCTGAAATTCAGCAGCAGAATCCGACTGAACAGTTCGCATGTCAACCAAAGCAGGCAACGGTAACCCTTTTTTCCAACCCTTGCATGTTCATTCCGATTCAGCTTCGACTCCAGCACTACTGACTCAACACTGCTGTCTGACCGATGGCCTCACTGGCTGTGGCTGTCTTTACAGGGCATCACGCATGTCTGACCACCTTCGTCGTGCCATTTGCTACCACTGCAGTTGACGGTTCAATTCATGCGACATGTCAGGCCAGAATCAGACAAGGAGCACTGTGATCTGCTCGAAAAAATAATCAGACGTGATCGGGTTACCGCTCTTCTTGTTGATGCGGCCTTTGTCCTTCTCCCTGGACTTCTTGGAAATCTTCTCTGACATGAGGACCCACGACCTCTTCTTGGTCCTGGCACACAGTCGTTAATAATTGCGGACAACGGCATCGTACTGACATGCAACAATCAATTGCAAACGAGCTGCAGGTTCTTACGGGAGTCACGGGTGGACCACAGGCAGTTCGCACTCGCAATCTGACAGCCCACGAACACGATCTGGCTGATCATGGAGGAAAACTCTGACGAGTTATGAAGATGCAGCTCACGGGGAACACTCACAGCACGTGCCAGTCGCAGCACTGGCTGCAGCTTCCATCCCAATCTCTTACACTCCACAAGCCACTCGATTCCTGCCACCCAGCCACCAACCAAACGAGATGCCATGAGGAAAGCGGGCAACCTTTCTAACTCAGGCGTCTTATTGTCTGACTCGTCGTCGTTATTAGTCTGACCAGCAGTCTGACCAGTGGACTGACACGCCGAGCGAAGACCGCCCTGGCACACAATCTGACCTTCGTCCCCGTTTGTAAACCAAATCAGGTCCTTAACCTGGAACAGTTCCCGGAAGAATTCCACATCTGACTTCCAGGCCAAGGTCTTGATTCTCAGTTTGGCAAGCAGAGACTGCTCGTCTGACGAAAGTTCAATGCCAGGCATCAGGACGCAGCTGCAGGAAAATGATAATGTGCAGTTGTTCCTCTCTGACCATTGCAAGTCACGTCGTGTGAGGTCAGCTACTTCTCTCGCCTGCATCTCCTGCTGACAAGCTTGCAAGGTCGCCTCTGCATGCGGGTCTGACCCATCGGCCAGAAGTTCCAAAGCCTTCCTCTTCTTGTCCTGGACGGACCGCGCTTTGGATTGTTCAATGCAAAGGTAATTAAAATTACATTTCGAAAAATGTCAGTCACTAATGGGCTAACATCAGGCCAGGTGCTTGATTGTCTCGCATAGTCTTACAAAGGCTTTGCTGCTTGGCGGTGGCTTTCTTGGTGGCCGAATTCGCAGTGATTTCCTCAAGGCCTGCTTGCTCCAAAGTCTGGTCTGACCCTGATGCCTCCCGCTGTTGCTTCATCAATGATGTTATCTCATCATGTCTGACTCGGAGAAAGCCCTGAACGCCTTTAGGAGCAGCTGTCTTCTCTGACAATTTTCGTCTTGGCAGGTCTGGTGTCTTCCGCTGATTCTTAGCCGTCCCAAAAGTCTTGCGATACAAAGCCTGACATCGCAAAATCATGTCTGTGGAGGTGTACTGCATCTTGCCGTCTGACGAACGACTCATAGGACACAAGTCTGACACCGACGGCCCATCAAGCAGAACCTTGAGCAAGTCCCGCAGGTGTGTCTCACAGATGCGACTCTTCAACTGAAAAAGCTGAAGGTAGGAGAAATCTTGTTCTAGCTCTGACGAGCTCACCCAGATGCTCAGCATGAAGGGAACCTCATCGCTCGCAAAGGACACACGCCGAGTCTGACAAAGGCCGCCAAGACTCTTGAATCTGACTCTGATTGCCACCAAGCAGCCAGATTGTTCAGTATGGGAAGTGTCTTACGGCCCCAGTGCCGCAAGACCTCTGGCCAAAATATTTCTGGATCCGTGCATCCCCTCCTGCAAAGACTTTTAACAAGCATGTCAGTCTAAAATCACAATGATATTAATTTAAATTCAGAGTCTACAAAACGACAAATACAGCCTGATCGCAGCCAGTGCTGTCGGTCTGGCCACCAGCAGCTCCTTCACCAGCGGTTCCACCTGGTGACCAAAACTAAGAAAACAGTGCAACTCGTGCAAATCGTGACGGTGTGGACACCGGCCTCCACCTTGCCCACCGTCGCCAATGGCCGCAGAACGTCTGACCTCGGGCACCACTGTTACACATGATTCAAATTGTTATTATTATTTTAAATGTAAGTATTAATAATAAATATACATAATTAAAATTTCTTAGACTATACGCACCAATGCTATCAAAACGGCGGCCCAGGGACAGAGCCTTGTCATCCCGTGTCTCCACCCATTGTGTTACGTCGAAAGGCTCGAAGGCCTCTCCCAGACCAGCTTCGTGGTCTGACAAGACGCTTTGAAGATAGGCTCGCTTCATGTTGGCGATGGAGCCGAGGCCGTCAGCGATCAAACACTTCAGATCCAAGTCGTGGCCTTGGCTGACAGATTGAGGTCTGAATATAATTAAATTTGCAGAATGTGAGCGGACTGTGCGCCAATGCCACGCCAAGCAGCTGTAGAGGCGATACAGCAACCGGCCCTTGTGGACAACAGAGAACGATTTCTGACTGCCTCAGAGTCGGAGACTTGTGCTGCCAAACCTGGATGAAAAGGTCTGACTGACTGTGCAGCAAAGGCACCGAACTTCAGAGCTTCAGCTGCAATCTGACAGTACCCGTGGGTGAAGTTCCGATCTAACACGAGTGGCTTGTGTTTCGTCCCGTTGATCTCATAATCAAACAACCTTGCCAGCATTTCTGACACCATCCGGGACCTCCGAGATGCGAAAACAATCCTGCTAACAGCATTGCCATTCACATTCTTCTGACGAGAGCCGCTGCCACGAGTGCCGCCCTGATTGTCAAACGAGTGGATGTGCTGTCTGACGCACGACATGAACTCCACAAGCAAGCACATGGCAATGATGTTCGGCCAGGTAAAAACCTGCAAGCTTATTATCCATCAATTTAAAAAACTGATATTATACACAGGTTTCACATCATGTCAGTCTGACCCACTCGCCCGGCCTGGAGGACTGACAGTGCCCAGTCACGGTTGTCGTCCGTCAAGCAAACCTTGCAAAGGAACTTCAGAATCTCGTTCAATCTGAGGACGATCAACCTAAGGGCCTCTACTGTGGAGTCCCACCTCTGACTTGCAAAGCTTGATTGCATCGCAGAGCTGGCCGAAAGCTCTGACACCACGCTGGGCTCCAGTCTTACTTCAGATCGAAACATGGATGCCAACTTTGGGCTATTTTTTAATGCCCTGGCCAAGGATCCCCTGCTGTGTGTGTCAGCAAAGCGAGTAACCAGACGATCCATCAAATAGCCCATCTTCTCGTCTGACTTGACGATCGACTCCAAGCTGGCTTGTGCCGCATGAGAGAAACATCGAATGGAGGCGTCTAACGACGGAAGAACGTTGCCGACCTCATGACGTCAAGTGTCGAATGAGCCGAGTCCGAATTTAATACCAAGGCACCTTGGCCAAGCGAGGCATCAGCTGCTCCGCCGGCTCCCCATCCGCACAAAATACCTCAAAGGCAAAGCAACACAAAAACATCCCAGAATGTGACACAATGACACCAATAATTAATAAATTAACCACGAGTCGCACGAATTGTCCGACGGAGTTTGTCAAGAACCTCGTCGTCACGGTTCGCGAAAAACTCCATTGTCTCCTTCGCTTTCTCCACTTTCCACCCAGCTGCCTGGCATCAGCAGAGTCTCTACACCTCTAGGTCTGACCGTTTGTTGCAACGCAAACCTTGCTGCCCTGGACGGCACGCAAGTCTGCCATTCGACGAACGACAGTGAGGTCTGACAGGCAGAACTTGAACTTCACGAAGTTGAACTCGCCCCTGACATCCTGCCACACATGTTCTTGCATATCTGCATTTTTGTTACACGGACAGCTCCAGAGACACTGGTTTGCC